ATCTGAAAGAGCGGGATCTCTTAACTGATTCCCTTATATTTGCTCTCAAATCCTGTTTCCGAACCCTGAAGAGGGATTCCTTACGTCTTAAAGACAGGTCCTATTCCCTAAATCCTTTTCGCTAAGCCCTAAAAGGTGGGATCCCGACATCTTCTTCCCCACCTTATTCCCAGAATATCTTTCCCAAAGTCCTGTTCTCTAAGCCCCAAGAGGGGTCCGTAAATCTTGAAGAGGAGAGTCCCAAGGAGAGCCCCAAGTCTTAAGGATGCACGTCTGCAAGCCTAAGCCCTAAACTCTAAACCCTCGAAGCCCTAAACCCTAAACTTAAGGCCGAATCCGAAACCCTGAGACCTACATCGTGGGACTGCGTGTGGCTTAGGGCCTAGAAAGCGGCTTTTCCCTAAACTTAAGCCTAAATTCCGAAGAGCGGGATCCCTGACTCCTGTTCCCGAAATCTTCTTTTCTTTATGCCCTTCAAAGCCTAAAGCGCTAAGCCCATAAGGGTGGGATCCCTTTCCCGAAAGCTAATTTCCTCAGTGCAGCAAGATGACACCGATTCAAAACAAGATGACATGCATTCAAGTGCATGCAAAATGCATTCAACTTGAATGCGCTCTTGGATTCAAGATTCAAGATTCAAGGTGCCCGGGAGAACTCGCCCGGGCATCTTGAATCTTGAATCCAAGAGCGCATTCAAGTTGAATGCGTTTTGAATGCATTTGAATGCGTTTCATCTTGTTTCATCTTGTTCCGGAGCGAAACTTACGTGCTTATGTATACTAAATAAAGTATACTTCGGGCTCGTCTGCGTATATACGTATTACAGAGTTTGAGGTACTCACCCGATCCCAATAACCCACGCGTTTCTGAAGCTGAGATTCTGGAAAAAAGGCGTGGGTACATGGGGGGGGGGTACCATATATATAAACATAGCTACCCCCCCCTCCCGGGACCTACCTTTTTGAGTGTTGTTGCTTAATTTTTGCAGTGGCAAGACAGTTGATGCAGCATTTGGATAGAGAGTGGGACGATGACAAGCAGATGACCTTTAGTGTCGGCCTCTACCCCCGTAGGTTTGAGTCAGACATTTGGAAAGGCAGCATTTGGATGAAGAGTGGGACGACGACAAGCAGATAACCTTTTTGCATTGCCTTGTACCCCAGCAGGCTTGAGTCAGACAGTCGGAAAGGCAGCGATCGGAAACCAGCACACTCACTCACCTGGGCTGCACGATTTCTCGCATTGCCCAAGTGAAGAGTTTGCCAGTCTCGAGCCAGAGATCTGTGCCCCGCGTCCAGTATGCATACTGGGCGGAGCGAATTTTGTTGCGCATCACGAGGCTACCTGCCCTGGTGTGCTGGTTCAGGGAGATTCTCTCCTTAAGGAACCGCCAGGCTCTATCGATGATTTGAGTACCGGCCTTCGTTCTCAAAGGCTTGATGCGTCCTGGCACGCGGTGTTCCACCACTTTCACGTATGTCGGAGCCTTCCAAACATACTTTCCATTGACCAGCACCCTTTTCTTGGCATGAACAACCCGATCATGTACAACGCGGTCTACCTTGAGTTTATAACTCTTGGCAGAGTCCGTGTGGAAAATCACGGCACGACCCTTTAAATGCTTCTCTGCAAGTGGTCGCCACTCTACACGTCGCACAGCGCCTGGACCGGGTGCCCTCTTGACGGTCTTAGGCGGGTTGAGGCGCTCCAAGATGAGAGTATCCGGTCGACCACGTTGAACCAGCCCCAACCATTGCTCCCATCTGATTGGCTTGGTCTGGTCTCCGTGTTTCTCATTTGTTTTAGTGAACGTGGCCTCGTCCCCCTCGACATCTTGCCAAGAACGGCAGTCGCCCAACTTGATGTCCTTTTGCTTGACCTCCACGAAACGCCTACGAACATCGGCTAACTTGCCCTCGAGGTCTTGGATGGCCTTGTGGTTCACATGCGTTATCTTGTGGATGGATGCTGCCGAAACACCAATAAGTTTGAGGAGTAGCACAGAAGCCTGCGTCTGAAGATCTGTGGAAGCCGGACCACCAGCGTCAACGAAGACGGGATGCAAGTGATGCGGACTCAGGTATCGCTGGCAACCCTTATGGTTGCAGCGATGTTTCCACGTATCCTCCTTTGTGTTGGGCTTGCGGACCAATCCCGAAAGGGTTCCCTTATGGCAGTGTGGACATCGACTCCCTTGCCACTTCGGTAGGATCTTGTCTTTCACCAGCATGTCGATGAGGGACTTGTTGCTGGCCTTGATGATGTCCGGGTAGCTCCGGCACCACTTCGTCTGATCACCACGAAGCCCACGACCTGGGAGAGCTGAAGGATCCTTCACGTATGGAATGGCCTTGTAAGTCTTGGACTTGATGGAAGCAGGCCGTTTCTGCGTGGCACGCAACTTGCCCTTCTTGGCTACGAAGGATGCTCCAGGGCGTTTGGCTACCTTGGGGGCCATGAGCTCACGCGAGTAGTGCGAAGGGCGAAGGATATAGTGCTTGAGCGCAACTGGTTCAAATTGCAGTGCCTTGAAGTATGTTGTGTAAAAGCACACGATTTACAGAATCAGAACAGCATCACAGTCACACATGCGAGCAGCACCGCACTCACACATGCATCGCACATTTTTCGCTTGACATTTCAGTCGCTTGTGAGTTGATAATGTTTCTGCGTTGCAGGAGCGGTTCACACCGTGGTCACTGGTCCGAGGCCACATGTTGAGTGTACATCCTGTTGAGGTCATAAATCACGAGTGTAGGGTATGGGCTGCGTCCTCCTCTCCGGAGAAGGAGTCAGTGGCTTTGTCAGGCTGCGGAACTGATGATTGTGCTGCCTCTTCCTCAGGCTGGGGAACCGACGATTGTGCTGCAGCATTGCAGGACTTCATCCTTACCCGGCGGGTCGGAGTTGGATAAACAAAATCTCCAAGGCGTCTGCGAGGAGTACCCGGAGGCGGGGCTGCATGTGGCACCACAGGGCCTGTGTGCTTTGGAGCAGCATCTTCATCTGAAGACTGCGAGGAAGGTAGCCATGTCGTGTTGGTTTCCCGGCTGATGTCCTGAAGCTTGTCGGCGATTTTCGTGTTGATGCTCTTGATGTAAGTGCTTGGGCGTCCTGCGTGTGCGAGGTCAGCCAGACCATGAAGGATGAGGGCCTGTTCGCATTTGACATCCTCCTCAAAGGTTGGGGGGAGCTCCTCGACGCCAATCTTGTATTTGGCATAAAACTCCTTGTCCCTTTCGCAGAAGAGGTCGGCATGGAGCTGGCTCACGAGTATGCGATGAACTGGGGCACCCAAGTCCTGGTCAGGGAGTCGCAGGTAGACGGCATGTTTCCCGAAGACGAAGACGATGGAACGTTTCAAGATGGCCAGAACATCAGCTTCCTTGTATGCCTGAAAGAGCTTGCGTGTGAGCTTCATGAACTCAGCAGCAGTGATCGAGGTGCTCAGTCTATCAGGCGGAGGCTCATCCGATTCCTCAAGATCATTCGAAGCCAACGCCCTGAGACCATTCCGGGCCAATTTCACATCGTTGTAACGCCCCGTGCAATTTTGGTCTTCCTCCGAAGTGAGCCAAGATTTCAAGTCGGACGCCTCGATCTTTTCGATGGTGGGGTCGTCCAAGATTATGCCTTCATGTGACTGGCCACACTTGTGCCTGAAGTTGTCCATAGCTTTGGCTCGTCTCCAACCAGGACGAATGTGAGCATGTCCATTCTTGTTGATGTGGTAGCGACCGAGTGCGAGACTGAGGACGATGAGAAATGGGGTCTTGCCCACGCCCGGCCAACCCACAGTGATGATGCCGTAGGAGAGCATCAAGGGGAACACCATGGGCAGCAGAAACGCGTGCATGAACGGCTTCAAGCTCATGGTTGTGAAGGGGAAGAATCGAGATGAAGATGCTCCTCCTGCTGCCCGGGATTTGTTTTGGGCCATGAGTTTGACCTCAGACTTGGGCCACCCCGCGATAGGAGTGCCACTGTCCGGACGTATTTGTCTCAGGATCCACACGTATTGTTGGTTCTCATCATCTTGGTCAGGAGCCTTTTTGTTGATGTACTCCACTCCTGCCAAGAGTTCCTCATCTTCAGGGCACCATTGCTGCTGAGAAGACGAGGACCTCTGGATGCCTTGTCCACCCTGTGCCTGAGAGAGACGCCACCAGACGACATGATGCCCCGGAAGCATGTCCATGAGGTAATGGACGGCCTTTACCCAAGTCCATGGTCCCTGTCTAAAGGCGGGCACTACAGCAGAGCCAGTGCAGCACGCGCGAGCCTGCTTTGTTGGCACCTTCCCGGTAAAGGACATGACGCGAAGAATGTCGAGAACCCCGTCCTCCGAGTTGTTGATGATGTACGAAACTGTGGTTCCCGAGGGCATGGCCTCAGCAGGCTGCAGATGAGGAGGAAGAACAGAGTAATCTTGATCTTGGAGTCGCTCGCATAGTGCTGAGATAATGCCTAACTCAGGGATGTTGTAGTGGGCATCGAGGACGAGGGTGCATGATTTGGCATGGTCTACCGGACGACACGCGTGCTTGACAAAGTCCTTGAGGGCAAATTCAGAGTCTCTTTTGACCTCGTACACAGGGGTGGATGTTGTGGCCAGAGAGCAACTTTTCGCACCACATTTCGCCATTGCTTCATCTAGCATTCGTTCGAGGTTCGCCATGGGGGTGGGGAACAGATCAGCTCGTATGGTTTCTGTTGAGACAAAGAGCAGGCTGCAAGCACACGTCTAGGAGCAGATGTGTGAGGGAACATGACACTGCTTATGTTGCAAAGTCGGCCATCCTTTTACTCAACATGAAGCACACGTCTAGGGGCAGATGTGTGAGGGAACATGACACTGCTTATGTTGCAAAGTCGGCCATCCTTTTACTCGACATGAAGCTGGCTCTCTCTACAGGCATACCTAGTGGAAAGAAACGTCGTTCTCAAAGGCTTGATGCGTCCTGGCACCCGGTGTTCCACCACTTTCACGTATGTCGGAACTAGGGAAGGTTTTTCTGGAGCTCCTCGAGTTTCTGACGAAGTTGTGCGTTCTCGTACTCATACTCCTGGATGTCGCTCTCCAGGATGAAGATGCGAGTCTCGTGCTTTTCAACTTGCTGCTCAAGGGTGGCGACAGTTGCTTCAAGGTCCTGCTTGTTCGCCTCCAACTCTAGAAACTGGGGGTGTTCCACCAGGAAGCAATCCAAGATGTCCGTCGCAATCTCTGGGGTAAGCTTTGACTTTGTCGACTTTGATGACGACGGTGACGAGGCTACCTTCTCGGTTTTCTTCTGGCGCTTGGTTGACTTCTTAGAAGAAGACTGCGACGAGCTTGCCGACTCCGAACTGGAAGAACTTGAAGATGAGCTCGAGACGGGACTCCTGGGTGTGGTTGTGTTTGGTGCGATTTCGAGATGATGGTTGTAGTTGGGGGATATTGACAGGGTTTTTTTGATCTTACGTAGCCTACAGCCCTCATATATTCAAAAGTATGACTATTGAAACAAGAAGCGACTTGCGTCCATTTTTCTCTTTGGGAAGCACGTTCTCTGAGGAGGGGCCATCATCCACATGTCCATCGCAAAGTGCTTGTGCCGGGGAGCTGTGCTTGCTGCGAGCACGCTTGGGAACACGAAGAACTTGTTCCAATTTTTCTGTTGCCATCTGTGGCCATGGACCGACAAGTCCGACAGGTGATAGACTCAACTGCCGCTGTATGTTGCACATCATCGTGGAGAGCACCGTGCGAGTGACCGGCTTCCGAGAGTCGTGGACCTCTATGACATTGTTGGAGATGTTGTAGCGGATGGTCTCGATTTGCGATTGGAGGCTCTCAGGTTGCACTGATGCCATTACGCTGGACTCGCTGGACGGGGTCGTCGTCATGGGATCATCGGAGGTCGTAGGTGTTAAGATCATGGTAGCTTGCCCCTTGCCGATGGTGACGTGACCACTGACGTTGAAACACGCCATGAAGTCGAAAGGATAGCAGGGCGAGCTGTTGATTTGAACATTCAAGGCTACTCATGCGTTGGGACGCATAATTAACAATGCCATGAGCTGTACTATATGTTTAATATGATTTAGTAATGTTTGAGTACAGATGCAGAATTTGCTATATACGTAAAGTGATGAAGGTTATTGCCATCAGAGTCTGTATATATATGTGTAATGTGCATCATGCCATTGTACCAGTACCCGTTATAGATATCGAGTTGCTATATAACTAAATTGTGAAGGATTATTGCTCCCATATAATGTGTGATACCATGAAGTGTTGAGCCCCTACATAATGTGTGATGCTATGTTCTGTATTATATTAATATGATTTAGGATGTAGGAATACATGGGTACAGGTATAGAGTTGCTATACAACTGAAATGTTGCGGATTATAGCGCCCAGAGCCTTTGTACTTAGACGATTTGGGCCCCCAGAGGGCACTTTAAAGTACTTTAAAGTGCCCCCCGGGGGCCCCGAGAGACAAAGTACAGGGGCACCATTTGTACTTAGACGATTTGGGCCCCCAGGGGGCACTTTAAAGTACTTTAAAGTGGCCCTGGATCCAAGATCCAAGATCCAAGATTCCAAAAAAACTTTTTGGGGAATCTTGGATCTTGGATCTTGGATCCAGGGCCACTTTAAAGTACTTTAAAGTGGCCCCCGGGGGCCCCGGGAGACAAAGTACAGGGACACCGTTTGTACTTAGACGATTTGGGCCCCCAGGGGGCACAAGTACTTTAAAGTGCCCCCCGGGGGCCCCGAGAGACAAAGTACAGGGGCACCATTTGTACTTAGACGATTTGGGCCCCCAGGGGGCCACTTTAAAGTACTTTAAAGTGGCCCTGGATCCAAGATCCAAGATCCAAGATTCCAAAAAAACTTTTTGGGGAATCTTGGATCTTGGATCTTGGATCCAGGGCCACTTTAAAGTACGTTAAGGTGGCCCCCGGGGGCCCCGGGAGACAAAGTACAGGGGCGCCATTTGTACTTAGAAAATTTCGGCCCCCAAGGGGCATTTGAAATGGCCCCCTCCAGGAGCCTCATTAATATTATACATTTTTCTATCTCTCCCCCACCCCACGAGACCAACCTGAGCAATACAAGCTTTAAAAAAGGTAGGTCCCGGGGGGGGGGGGTACCATATATATATATATGTTTCATTTGAGGCTGCGTTTCGGCGCGGCAGACATCTTGCTTAATATCATATATATATATATATATATATACATATATACATATATATATATATAACAGTCTTGTGTGCTGTTGTAAACCTACAGCAAAGCATGGCACACCAACCCCACCAAATCTTACAGTCATGAGGTTAAAGCTGGGCATTGCCTTCATTCGCTTTGGGACCTTCGCTATGTTGTTTGTCGAACACGGCAGAAAAGTCGACGGGCCCCGCGGCAAAGTCGAAGTATTGGTTTTTGCTTCCGTCCGTGCAAGTCCATGCTTGGATTTTGTTGCCATTGTAGTCGCCCCCCTCGAACACGTCCATGCAGAGCTTGGTCTCGTCGTTTCTCAGTGTCGTTCGCTCAGCTGGGCGTTTCCAAAATGTTTGTGACCTGTAGTCACCACAGAACCAAACCTGCAGTGGATATGCCATATCGTCCGCCCACCACGGCTTCGCATTGTGGTTGAAGTCCAGGCAGTAATTCGGGTCCATGCCGACATGAATGCGGTTGCTGTCTCCCAGGTCATAAACGAACATCTGCTGTTTGTCGCCAGGCTTGCACTCCCAAAGTTCCACTGGAAGGCCATTCTTCAGTCCTTCAGGCTGGGAGCCATCCACCTGGAAGCATTTGTTCTGGCCATAAACCCACTTAATCGGAGACTCCACGGCCCAGAAGGCGAAGAGCTGATCGCCTCGCCAAACATCGCAGTCTCCATACTCCAACAACTGATGCTCCTTCTGTACGCTTCCTTTCACCTGAAGGCACTTGCCATCTTCGTGCTTCAGGTGGACAGTGCTCTTCTCCGCGTAGCCGTGCATGACCACCTTGACGTTCTGGTCTGGAGACATTGTACACGTGCGGAGCTTCACCGTGCGACCGTCCCGCGTCAGGCAAAGACCTGGATCGAATGATCGACTGAAAGCAATTTGACCACCCAGGCTGACCCAAAGCTGGGCACTGTCTTGCGGCCGACAGCGGTAGGTTTGTACAATCTGGTTTTCATAGGCTCGCGCATAGGGCACATCAAGGCAAAGGTTGGACGCAACAGTCCAGCGAATGTGGAACTCCCGCTTCTGAAGACGGGCGCCAATAGTGCGTGGGATCTTTTGTGAGAGAGCTCCCAGGGCCGACGTTTGGGCTCTGCCTGCGGGGCTTGCAGGGCCTGCGAGCCCAAGGAGGCCGAGGCCACAGAGAAGAAGCAGAAGGCACCAACAGCCGCCTTTCTGGCACCTACTGGCTGCGTGGGGCGGAAGTGCCTGCGGCAGAAGCGCCTGCTCCTCCACACACAGCTCATCGTTCTCGACAGGCTGGGAGGGCATTCTTCCACGAAGCTACGAAAGGGTCTGGCTAGATCCTGAAAAGGCAAAGCACTGTCCTGAGCCAGACGTGGACGAGAATGAACATAGGAGTGTTGCAGGCGGGAAGCTATTGACATGCAGCAGCCAACAAACAAAAGGAAGCTGTCAAAAGCCCCGCGCGGACACAACTACGTACGACTACGGCTACGCCACGCGATGGCGAAAACTCAAAGCCTTGACTCTGTAACCAGCATCTGTGAATGTCCACTTGGTCGCCGGCGTGAGCAGCTTCAGAGCCAACAGCTGATGGGCCATTGGTGATCCTTGGTGACGGCCAAATCTGTGCAGCTTCAAGCACTCCTGTTCCCGCAACCTCTGCCTTAGTGCGTCGAGTCGTTTGCTTCGGTGTGTACCCTACATTCTAAGCTTAAACTTTAAACCCTAGAAACCTTAAACCCTCCTCATCCCAAAAACATAAGCCGCAACTTAATCCAAACTGTCGATGTGCATTCCTCTTAAGCAGGCCCGTCCGGTAGTTTAAACCGCGTTATCTTTTGTTGCTCATACAGGCCCAAGCACAGTATATAGGGTCATGAGCACATCTTCTTAAGTACATTCCCAACCTGTAGGTGCCGCCCCATCCCAGAGTATCCCCAGAGAATCCCTGGAACGTCCAACCCCAGAGTATCCCCAGAAAATCCCTGGAGTGCCCAACCCCAAAGTATCCCCAGAGAATGATCGAAGCTAAAATATGTTGTAAATGGCACCTGGGCAACCCCCTTCCGGGGCCGGGGCCTCTTGCCAAAGCTTCTTCAAAACTACCCGGACACCCCCCAACACACCCCGAACGCCCCCGGACACCCCCGGACAACCTTTGAGTGAAGGCTGGACAGTGCTGGAACAGCGTGGGCGGACTTGCAGCAAACCCCCGCTGGAAAAAACAAAACCAGACTTTAGGAACTAAACCCAAAATTCAAATCTGCAGGGTGGCTTGGGGTGGGCTTACCGCCACGTGGCGTTGCGGGGCCAGTTAAAGGTGAGGCCCCGGAGCCCAGTGAGCAACCCAGAACGTTGCCACACCCTAAACCCTAAACCCTGAGCCCTTGTTACCCGAAAACCCTGAGCAACCCTGAACCCTAAGTTCCTTTTAGGAGCCGAGTCCATCTGGCTCAGGTCCCAGCACGGCAGGCACCAGTGGGCCGAGAAGTATAGGGCCGCCTCAGGGGGGTTGTTTGGAGGGTTTCGGGGATTCGGGGCATTGAAGGGTTTAGGGGTTTAGGCGTTTAGGAATTTACAAAATGTTTGCTTTCTTGTCAGTTGAATTGAACCTTGGGCTGATGCGACGAAATCACACGATTTCTTGATTCTAATCTCACCCATGTTCGTGGCGTTTCTTGTCATGAGCGGAAGCGCCAAGACTCAGGTTATTTCATAAACCTGATTCAGTTTTTTGGAAGTGCCACAACCCTTTGTCTCTGCGAGAGGCGCACGCATGGCCGAGGGCCATTGCTGAGCATGGTGCCTTGCTGAAAGAAGCCATTTGAAATTAGGGTCCCTTTGGGTCCCGATAGAGTACGCCACCTCATAAACAAGGACCCAAAACAAACGGACCTTATATCGCACACTTGTGGGCTTCCTATCCCCCCTCCCCCTCCCCCTCCCTCTCGAGGGCCCCCGGCCACGGAGGCACCGGACGAGGCTTGGCCGCTGTGACCTCACAGATTGTCCCTGAATCCGAAGCGCCCCTTGCCCTAACCCCCCAAACCCTTGCCAGGATGTTCGGGCCTCACCCACTTGCCCGTAAGAAGAAAACCAGAGTAGCCCCTGATGCATGCAGCAGAAACGGTTGAGGCTGTTGGGTTACGGGTCTTGCGTTACAGCGTTCCTGTTCAGGTTATTCTCGCCTCCTGTCTCAAATTACTTTTACTCAACTCCCACTTCCTGTCGCAATTTTTTCTCACTTTGAGAGTTGTTCGGGAGTGTCAGGTTTAACAGCGAGCGAATGTGCTAAGCTTCGGGTTGGAGACCTGGGGCCAAAACCATTGGCGGATGCTAAGTCATGAAATGCCAGCATGCAGGAGAGTTTAGTTCAAATTTTGGCATTCTACAGCAGTTCATTCCTGGAACTGCCACCGCCCTTGCCCAAGTGACCCGAAAACCCTAGCCCCTGCATCCAAAAACCCTGACGCTTGCAAGGACAAGCCGCTACACCCGGAAGCGGCCCCAGCCGGCTGCAAAAGCACTTTCCCACGGCTCCAAAGCTGTTGGCACCTTTGAGCTCTTACGAGTACTCTTAGTCCCCCCAGCTGTCCAGCTACTCAGGAAGCTACAACTGTTGTTGTCAAATAAGGAACTTTTCCCCCTTCACCGACGAGCGCATCTCCGCCCCTGCCTCTCGCAGCGCGGGGGCGTCGGCAGGTGCGGACCTGCTCGGGGAGAAGAGTTAGTGACAGATGTGACAACAAGTGTACTGAAGTTGACCAAAACATGATGGGCCTTTCCCATTTGAAGATGGCACGGCATATTCGAGGACTGGATCAAAAACTTCTTCGCGCCGTAGGACAATCTTGCACTTAAACCCGCAAGAAGTACTTCAGCCACGTCAGCCCAAGCCACAATGGAGAATGCAGGAAGGCGGCCTCACGGAGCTGCAGCGTCAGCCTGGCGAGGCAGAACCGGCACCCTCCCAAGCTGACCTTCTGAAGCTGCGGAGCCGTGAGCCAAAGCTGCGCAGCTTGATAAATGAATGAAGTGAAATTCTGAGGAGCAGCTTGCGCCGAATTGTAGAGTCATCCTAGAGATTGCTGCCGAAATCGCGACTGCAGCAGCAGCAGCGAAACACAAGGCTCCAGCGCTGCCTTGCGCGAGCGCGGCAGGGCCGTGAACAGAACCTTGGGAGAGGTATAATGGTGGCTGAGAGGGAACGATTTGTGATGATTCGTGCCTCATCCCCTCCAGGCCAGACCACCGGACATGTGAAAGTATCAAACACCCCCCCCCCCCCCACTTCCCTCGGCTGGTTCGCCGGTCCTGTGGGCGGCTTGCTTGAAGCACTCCCGACCCGGAGCAGAAGACGACAGGAAATTTACTGAGACACCTTCGATTCGATTCCCATGTTCTCAGAAACTTCTTAAAACTTACCACTCTGCCAAGTCTAAATATCTCCAAAGCCAAGTTGCCATCACCAGTGCCCAGCCCTCGTATTTGTCGCAGCTGCCTGTGTCTCGATCAAGAGCGCATGCGCAACACATGCTTGTATGCTGACTTAGTCAGCAAAAAGGCGTTCGAGGCACACAGCGCAATCTCTCCTTCGAAGCTTCTCTCGATTCTGAGGACTGCGCGCAGGGAGAGAGCCAGGACCATTCCTGCACCAAAGATGACTGATGAGATGTCCCAAATTTTAACAAACGCCAGCATCCCTAACGCATGCACCATCACACTGGTCTTGACAGAGAACTGACACTGTTCTTTTCACGGCCAATCACGGAAGAGCTGATCTTGGAAACATTATACAAGTGCCTACGCAGGGACATTCAGTTGCCTGTGTAGCAACGTATTGAGAGAGCGCTGGAGGCTTCACCTGCTTGCAGGCTATCGTGAGCTGGAACTGGAACGCGCGGCATCTCGGCCCGGATAAATGCCAGTGGGTGAGGGCTTAACGCCGACCCGCCTGGTCCTTTGTTCGCATGTCAAAACTGGGGCCTGCATCAACTCCAGGCCACTCTAGTCAAGCACAACGGCGATACACCATTGCAGCCTGCGGCGTACTATATTGTCATATTGCAGCATTAGTGTTGTATGGAGCCGATGCCTTCGTGAATCGCACTTTGGCGAGACGGAAGCACGGGGAAGGTACCCCAGCGCGCAACCCTTTGCCCCTCAATTCATCTTCTCCCGATTCTCCTCCCTCAGCTTGGCCAAATGCCGTTCGGGAGCGCCTCATGGCTACGCGCCTTGCCTGCGCCTGATTCTGTGCACTCGGGCATGGCAGAACTCGCAGGACGATTTCGGGCAGCCGTTCTTGCTGGCCATGAAGGCACAGGGGCGGCAGCCGAAGTCGCAGAAGCGTGCAAGTGCTCGGCGTCTTGCGGCTCTCTCTTCCCTCCTTCGCTCCGCCAGCTCCTGCTCCAATTGGCCTTGCAGCAGGTTGCCATTCATGCGTTGAATTCGCCTCCGGTTCCCCGACCGCTGTCTGCAAGAAGCAGATCCACCTTCCCTACCCTTCCCCTCACCGCGAGCTTGGGGAAGCTGCATTGAATGCCATAGGGGGAAACACTCAAGGACCTGACGCTGACAGGCCTGGGACAAACCTGGGAGAGGCCTAGGGCGCCGAGGATGCTCAGTACTCGGCGGATCGAGTCCTTAGAACACGAAGGCAATTGCCTGGACGCCCCTTGCAACTTGCGCCCCTTCACTGGCCGAGGCGGCTGCACGCAAGCGCTACGAGTGGCAGGCAAACTGCACGGAGCTAAGCAACCCGCATCGAAGCAAGAGACCCGAACATGTTTAAACACCTTAGCCAGCCGCGGGGTAGCGAAATCATTTCAATCTTGCCGCCACGCTTGCAGCTTGTCTGCAAAGTTTGGCGTGTCGAAGTCCCTGCCTTGCAACCCTTACTGTGACTGCAACGCTTCACTCCCCGGACCAACTGAGGCCGCGTCCTCGACCCTGCGACTCTCGCCCCTGCGGCTGCATGCGAGGCCCCTCCTGCTCTGGGTTCAGGTTGTCCATGTCTTCTTTGCGAGTCGGGCAGACCCCGCACTGGGGCGCCGTTTGAAGAGCTTACCCGACTGGAACAATGCAAGCGAAAACAAGGAATCTGCCCCTGGACGAGCTACAGCTCAAAGGAGCCTTCTCTGAGAGCCAAATCCGAAGGCAACGGTGATGCACAGGACATACTTGCAAGTTTCGACAGGGCTGGATCAGGACTGGATCTCAAGCTGGGCTGATGTGGGCTGAAGCTTGGCCCGTTGGCTTGTTGGCCGGAATGGGTTTTTAAGAGCTATGTTCAACAAACCTTAAGCTCGTGGAGCTCTTCGAACTGAGGAAAAGAACCTCCCAAAAAACGGCCCCCCGTCTCAGATCCAGGTGAGAGCCGGGGCTCCGTTCTTTGCTGTCACGGCGATCCATTTCCGGCGCACCTCAGCAACACTTCACAGCTCTAAGTCAGGGCCGAGTCGAAGGGAGTGAAGGCCATCGGCAGATTTGTGCCAAGCGTCTGGGCGTGTCAGCAAAGCTTGGTGGCAGGATGTGCGCCCATTCCAAGAGCCCATTGCAGCAGTTGGCAAGGACCGCGACAAACGAAAATCAGGTTAGAAACCACGTACTTGTGAAGGAAATGGAGGCAAGCACGAAGCAATGCTCCTACAATCACACGGAAACGTACGGAAACCTACCGCGCCCAAAAACATGAGAAGCGAGCCTTGACGGGTGGCAACGGCATCCCGAAGACCACGAAACAACAACTGGCAGCAGTCCCAAGACCCGCCACCACAAAAGGGAAAAAGGCGCTTGTCCATGTAGGCGCTTAAAGGCAAAGGCGCTTACGACGCTTGAGCCAGTTTCCGGTTTTTTGAAAGGCGCTTGCGCATTGATGTGGGCGTTTACATGCGCCCAGGGAGTACGTGATAGCACATGGATTCAAGCCACATCGAAGCGACAGCACTGGTAATGCAACAAAACATCGAACGCAACATCCTTAGTCCTTGAGCTCCGGGCTGCACATGTCCACTTCTCTAAATTAGGGTACCCTTCTCTGGGGGATTTGGCTTGCGAGCATCATGGAGAGCTTTATATTTCGGGTACCCAGACACGGCCCATAGGCGGAACCACTCGCCAAATCCACTGCGCAATGTTAGCTCAGGCACCAATGCGCTGGCAGCAGACTTTCAGCATCCGTGCAAAACTGCGTCAACTCTGCACGGGGCTTTGCACATGCACGGTGCCCGCGCGGCTCTTCAGCCTACTACGACGAATGTCCGCGACGGGTCAAAACTTCTTGAGACCGTCCCGCTCCTTTGGCGAAACGTGGAGCTCGAAACAAAGGGGCTCCCTTGTTCAGCACTGTACATCTCTTTTTAGGGCGCCGCAGCCCGTACGTCAGTGAGCTCGTCAGCAGCGTAGCCATTGGACAGCATCTTCTCGTATGCGTCGAAGAACTCCGCCAACCAGGAAGTCTGGTTCTCTGCAAACTCTTCAACCACGTCGCCCACAGAGAAGTATGCGTCGCCGCAGTCCAGGGAACCCTTCCATTTCCCGTTCCAGCGACCACAGCCCTGCGGCACCCCGTCATCATTTTGAAACAGCTTTCTGTGCAGACTGAGGTCGCTGGGTAGCATCGTTTCATGAATGCCCGCATCATCGAACTCATGCACGCATTGAGGGTTGCAGAAATTCCCCTCCTTCAAGTTTGTGCAGCAGAAAGTGTGGTTCATGACAGGCCTACCGAAACGAGACACTGACCACTTGTCCCACCACGCATGGCCAGGAGGGGCATCGCAAGGAGTGCAGGCGACCTTCTTTTTGACTACTTGGAATGGACCGCCATTGGGCAGTTCGCGCCACTCCTCGGCAACCCACACTCCAGGAGGATGTTCGCCTTTGATGTCCTTGTAGTTCAGCCTTTTGCCATTCACGACGATGCCGGTCTGGGACCAGTCGCGCTTCAGTGTAAGGAGCCGGTAGTAGCCATTGTTGAAGATCTTGTGGGAGAACTTCCAGTTATACTTGAAGCATCTTGAAGCCGGAAATTTCTACATGGAAAGTGCCTATCGTGTGGGCACCCATGATTGCTACGACTTCTCGCCCGCTGAAACCAAAGTTTTTCTTGAAATATGTCAAGGTCTTCCAGCCATCCCCATGCGGATCTGGGTGAGCTTCACGCTTGCTCGTCATGTAGGACCTCCTCTCGATTCCCTGCAGAGCAGGCTCGAAAGCCTCCTCAAATGGATGCCCGGAGCAGTCTCGGCGGCCTGTCTTGAAGATGATTTTCCGGGGTGCCGCGACCCTGCAATCTGAATGGCCCCAGCGGGGATGGTATTGACCCTCAGCACCGATCTCGGGAGCGTCGCAAACCTTGTTGTTCAGCTCCATGGCGACATCCACAGCCACTGTACCTGCGAGGGCCCACAAATCTGCCCGAGACTTATTGGTGCTTTTCAGGGAGGCATCGAGGACAGGAGTGCCGCTCGGGTAGTCTGTTCTTGTGTAGATGTGCTCGAGCGCCTCAGCGACAACGTGAAATCCGTTGTTGTGGCCGTCGTCAGCGAGCGACGACCGACTCCCTGCCAATCCAGACAGCCATCGCAGCCACCAGTACCGAAAACAAGACGCACGACCCTGGCAGGACTCGGTCCATAGCGATCTGCTTTTTCGACCTGGATGTTAGCCTCTGAGATGGCTTTGGCAGGATTTTGCATCATGTTCCGAAGCTTCTTCTTGACCCTCTTAATTTCCACAGCTGTCCAGGGAGCCCCTGGAGGTGAGGCCATTTCTCTGCCTCTTTCCGTTTCCGAAGCGTGGCCATCCTTGTGGGAGTCATGGAAATCCATGGCCTTGACGGCCTTGACTGCCTCGCGCTTCTGGATCAGAGTCGTGGGATCTGCGGCGGCAACGTTGCCAGCACTGCCCTCTCCCATGCTGCACTCTGCAGCACGTGCAGAGAGAGGAGCACGAAGCATACACAGCACTGACATGGCCACCACTGGGATGGCCAGCACTGAGTGGGTCATAGTCATTGCACCGTACCAATTTCCTACTCTGCCAAATGGCTGTGGGTTGTTTGAGCCTTTGAGCGGCTTGGACGTGAACTGGACCGCGGTGGGGAGCGCAAAGCTTTGATGAACAAACGGCACGAAGAAGCCGAGGGGCTACCTGTCACAGTGAAATAGCTTCAGAGTCTTAAGATTCACCTCGGCCTCCGGCCGAAAGGCCTACTAGGACCCCCCTGCTGATCCGCGCCGGCACTCCTTTAAAGCCCTTTGGGCGCAGAAAATATCGGGAAACCTGTGTAGGCCGCCATCGAAATCTGGGACCTTTGAGCTTTGGTCCAAACAGGGATGCCGCAACCGGACTCATCGCAAACCTCGGGGCAGATTAAAGAAGCAGAGCCTTTACAGTTCTATACCCTCAACCTTTAACCGCACCGAAAAACCTCAGCCTCAGGCTTCATCCTCACTCCGTAGCGCTTTGCAGCACTTTGGAGAGGTAGGCAAAAGTGTGCAGCTGTGACCGGGGGCCAAAGCACTGCGAATTCTGGCAGAGGGGAAGACTCCCCCAAAGATCATCCTAGCCAGAGGTGTCAGATGAATCTGCAAAGCCATGGACGCAACGACCATTTTGCCCAAGCGTCTTCGGCCGTGTTAACGGGCTAGCAAGTCCCTTCCACTTGCACGGCAGCGCCAGGGGGAGCTCCACGCGATCTTCCACAAGTACACATGTGCAATGACGCCCCTTCCCCGTGAGGAGGAGCTTCTAAGCTCAAGCCGCGCTTTTTGATGCTTGGGGCTTGGGACGTGCTGAACCGTGACACAACAACGTGTGCGGGCGTGCGGGCGCGCGGGCGTGCGAGCGTGCGGGCGTGCAGGCGTGCATGCGGGCGGGCTGGCGGGCGGGCGTTCGGGCGTGCGAGCGTGCATGCGTGCGCATAGATAGAGAATATGTAAGAAATTTCTAAACCCTTTTGCACTCACTTTGTCAAACCCGATGCTTCGAAAACGACATGTTTCGGCGGAGGCTCCGGAAGGGCGCTTGGTTCAGTCGCCAAGAGTCGCCCAAAAGGTGTTTCTTGACATTCAAGGCATTCATTGCTGCTGCAGCTCATTGCATTTGAGCGTTGCCCGAAAGCCCAACGAGGCTGTGTGGAATGCAGTGCACCAGTCATGCAGCTTTTTCTCGTGCAACTCACGTTCGAGTGCTTCGAGCTCCGGATTGTCTTTGAAATCCAATGAAACGCCGTAAGCTTGTAGCAAAATTGGAGCCATGCTGCTGGGGCACTGGGGCACCTAAAGGGTCCCCCGGCTTTGCGAAACAAGTGTCGTGTGCCAGCCCTCCAGGGGTCACCCACGGGGCGCCAGCAGGAAGGCTCCGAATTTGATTGCTCAAGACTCCGCTTGAAGGAAACATATGAAGGAAACACGATGGAAACATGATAGCTCATCCAGCGCGCCAGCTTCAGTTCGCATTCTTGTGCTGCTTCTGCTTTTTCAGACCCGCGAGGTGCCCAGAAGAACGTTGCCAGCGTGCCTTCTGCCTCGCCGTCCGTCGCTGCTCGATGTGAGTTTCAGCATGGCAGAAGTCGCAAGATGCTCGAGCACAGCCACCTTTTCGGGCCACGAAGGCGCATGGCTTGCAGGGAGAAGTTGCGCAAGGCTCTTGCGAGGCCATCTTCTTCTGCTGGATCACCTCGTGCAGCAGGGACAGGATCTGCTTTTGACCTTGCAGCAACGCAGATGGCAAAGTCTTTTCAGGCGGATGTAGCCCAAAGTGAGGCTCTTAACACGACATTTTGAAGATGTCAGTAGCAGATGCAAAATGACTTCCATCTTGTAGCAGCTCTGGGTTCCGAACTTGTCCCGCAGTCCATGCCGCCAAAACCCTGCCTCCGACTGCGTATCAAGAGCAACTGAGGCCAAGTCCCTGAGCGCGCAACTGGAGTGAGTCTGGCCCCGAGAACTTCGGGTGCAGAGAATCCAGATCATCGCGAGGCGTCAAGCAGCCCAACTCTTGTGCCATGCTGACAGGAGCGGAAGTTCTTCTACGACCCACGACTGCTCTGCTGGAAGCGCTAGCTGGAGCTGCAGGCAGAAAATACGCAGAAAGAAGACTGAATAAAGCTCACTTGCCCAACAGTTCTGCCCTCTAGAAAACGAAAGCTGGCCAAGGAAAGCGCTCGCTCGATCAAGACAACGGATTTTCCACGGCCAAGCACTTTCCCAGTGCGCGAAGCCTACTGGCATAAGAAATCCTCGCATTCGAGATGAGCTCGTCTCAGGGGGCGGAGCTGTCCTCAGTGTCTGCGCCCAAGCTGCAAGATGAAAGCTTCCATAGGAATATTTTACAAAAGTATATGCTATACCATGTAGGACTTCTAATCATTTGCAAAGAATATGTTCGAGAAAATTTGATGGTTTCCTGTCTGGGCCTCTGAATCTGCGAAGTGTTCAAAGGATTCTCAGGGTGTCCACATGCTCACAAAACGGAGAGCCTCCAAGCGCATCAGTCGGTTTCGAGCTGGGTGATGCACGCGCTTTTGAAAGAGTTAGCGGAGGGGAGGGAGAGCTCGGGGGCTCAAGGGGGTAGTGCACTTTCTCACAAAGGTCTGGGGCTCCAATTGTCAAAGGTTTGACGGTTCGAATGGGTTCATCAGGGTCCCCTTCTCCGGCACCATCTTGCAGTGGAAACTGGAACCGCCACCGCCCTTGCCCAACTGACCCGAAAACCCTAGCCCCTGCATCCAAAAACCCTGACGCTGGCAAGGACAAGTCGCTACACCCGGAAGCGGCCCCAGCCGGCTGCAAAAGCACTTTCCCACGGCTCCCTGTTGGCACCAATTTCAGCTCTTACGAGTACTCTTCGTCCCCCCAGCATGTCCAGCTACTCAGGAAGCTACAAGCGTTGTTGTCTTAAATAAGGAACTTTTCCCCCTTCACGGACGAGCGCAGCTCCGCCCCTGCCTCTCGCAGCGAGGGAGCGTCGGCAGGTGCGGACCTGCTCGGGGAGAAGAGCTAGTGACAGATGTGACAACAAGTGTACTGAAGTTGACCAAAACATGATGGGCCTTTCCCATTTGAAGATGGCACGGCATATTCGAGGACTGGTTCAAAAACTTTTTCGAACTCATCTTCATCCGAACTCATCTGAACTCCTGAGCCCTAATGGTCGACACCGGCCGGGCGGCTGCACCTCCACTGCTCGCAGCCCAGAAGTGTGGATCAGCTGGAGCGCCTGAGTGTGGCTTTCGGGAAACAGATGAACACACGCAAGCCGAATGAAACCTTGAAGTCGTAAGAATGTTCGCAAGGCCCACAAAGGCCCACATGCCCAACTCCAATGATCCAGGGTCAATCCTGCATGTGGGGCCTCGTAGAAGCTGCGGAGGCCCTCGGCATCCTCAGCAGCGATGTCAAGCATACTGCAGCGCAGCTCAGCTCTTGACACGGGCTATCCTCGGCTCAAGTACTTGGTACAATAGTTTACACTTCGTAGCACCAGGTCTGGGTTGAGGCACGACACGGCATAGGCCTCATTCAAGACCGACCTCAAGTGTTGAGGGGGACGAGTCAAGAAATCCCTCCACGACAGCGGAGCTAAGCAAGCCAGCCTCAACACACCAGAATCCAACTTTTTCCTAAGCTCTCTGCTCAACCATCTGGGACTGGCGGGTTCCCTTCAGAAGCTCTTTGCTGCTAATTGTGTGACATCTTCACCAACTCTAACTCTGAGCGTGCACGGCCCGCGCAGCTCTTCAGCCTAATGCGGCGTCCGCAGCTGGGACTCCAGCCTCCCAGCCTCCCTCCCCTGGTTTGTGATACCCTGTGATAAACCCCCTGGCCTCGGCTCTCAATGACTCAACGTGCTGCGCAGTTATTCGCAGTTAACATCTGCCAGTTGTAGCAAACCGCGGCCCGTTTCGGGCTGCCACCTGGCTGTCGGGCAGGTGCGAGGAAACCAATTGCTTCCAGCATCCTTTCAAGCATCCCTTGTTATGCTCCTTAGTCGGAAGGTCAGCATTTGAACCCACGCAGTCCTTCGGATTCTGGCAGGCCTCACAGTCTGAACCTACTTCTGAACCTTCTACCGGCCGACGCATCAGACCCAAACCCCAAACTTCCTTTAAGGCTTCATTCTCCCGAATGCAAGAGTTTGCTGGGGCGCGTGCATTCCCAAAGAAGACTCATCGGTCACCACCACATTGCTACTCTTGCCAGCCTGCGCAGCTTTAAAACTTCAGCTTCAGCTTCTGCGCTTCCTCAGAAACTCAAAGGACTTTTGCTGTCATCTGCATGGTGCAGCATGGTAGCGTACTACCGAAGAGCACGCACTTGCTCAAGGTCACGGGCCCTGCTGTTTTCCCCTCGAGGTGGTGCTTCAAAACTATTAGGGCGACTGTCCACCGGGAGCATGAAGTGGAAATGATGTAGAGAAGCCGCTTCAGAATCACCGACTCTGAGTCTTGAGCTGCCTTCAGAACGCAAACTCTGCTAAGATCCATTGGTCCAGAATTGCCTTGACTGCACAAGAGTGTGAGCTCTGGCAACAGCCTTTCAGCATCTATGGAGCATGTCCAAACCCGTGCCAGCTCCTTTGGCGTGCACGGCTCCCTCACGGCTCTTCAGCCTAGCACGGCGACTGTCCGCGACGGGTCAAAAATGTCCCGCTCCTTTGGCGAGACATGGGGTGCTCAACCTTAGGGTCCCTTACTTTGAGCAAAACTTTAACTGGCCCAGTTATGGCCGGCAATAGCAGTTGCAAGCTGTGCATACATGCCACCAGCTGCCACATTGGTCGCTCTTGCAGTGTCGGTTTTTCCGGCACCAATTCCCGGATCCCACGCGCCCATTCGAATCTCCGCAAGTTCCGCAGGTGCACTCGCCGGAGATGCAGGAGGCATCGTTGTGGCAGGACGACCCTTCGGGTGCCTTCCTTCGGCACACACCTCCGCAGCCGAGGTTCAACAGAGCCGCTCTCACACGATGGCCCTTCTCGCAGTGACCACCTGAGAAACAGTCATCATCAGAGGCGCACGGCGAACCTTCTGAAGCCTTCCTGTCGTAGCCCGTGCAAGTGTCGCAGATGCATGTGCCGGAGCTACACATGGCCCCCGCATCTTCCCAAGGGAGGCCCCAAATCCCCGCCGCAGATGCGGAGCAGTCTCCCCCCGCGTCCACTTGACCGGCGCATTTTCCCAAACAGCCTGCCGTAGTCCCATGCCAGTTCTCGCTGAGACAATACCCAGACTTGCAGTCAGCATTCTTGGAACAGCCCTCACCAATTGCCAGCTTGTGGCTATCATCTGTACACGTGCCGCAAAGGCAATCCTGAGATTCGCAAAGGTTGTCTGCCTCAAGCCAGGGATGTAGCTGCTTCCAAATCTCGCTGGCTGTGAAGGAATCACATCTCTCACCTGCTTTCTTCAGGGGAATGCACGTGCCGAGGCAACCTTGAGTTGTTTGAAGAAGTCCGTTTATCGACTTGCAAAAACCATACCCCTTGTGGCCATATTTGGGATCTCCCTGGCAGTCGCTATCCGTGTCGCATGTCTCATCCACCCACGCTCCTGGTGGACAGGTGGGGAGGTCGTTGAGGCTCCACACGAAGTTGTTGTAAGTAATCCGGGTCAGGTCTCTGTCCAACTTGTTCTGCGTGATCTGAAACTGCACGCCAATCTCATGCTTGCTGTCACAAAGTTCTTTCATCACGCCCATCACCTCCGACGCCCACTCGGTGAAATAGCGGCAGTTCAGCTGGGTCTTCAAGGCAGACTTTACGCCCACATCAAGCTTGCCATTTCCCCGGAGCAGGAAAGAGACCCCCACGCTGTTTTCCAAGCTGATGGTTGGGGGGATGAGGTGCTGCAAACCTCCAGTGAAATTGAGTAATTCGTGAAGGCTTACTTGTCCCCCAACGGACATATAGTAGCCGAGTGAGCTGTCCTGCAGCTGGGATGGAACGATGGTGAGGTCCATTTCTCCTCGTCGTCCGGCACTTCGATCACTTTGGGGGGCCGGAATGCGTTCCAGAACCATTTTCCTACACTTGGGCCGACAAGATCGAGACTGTCTGCATCCATCCCAATCATAAAGTACTCTTTCTCCTTATTCAAAGGCAAGCTGGCGCACTGCTGGTAGACGGACGATTTCGACGGGAAGGTCACGTTAAACACCTTCATGCTGTCGTCCGTGTCACCAAGTCGCCGTATGCTCCAGCCATCACCAAATGCAGTTCTGAGAAAGTGGTCGACGGCCGGGGGCATTTCCATACCCTGCGATACAGTCCTGCCGCACAGTGAAGCATTTTCAGAGCTAAGAACACCAAAGTCCAATTCACCCGAAGACCTCGCCAGCTGCAAGTGATCGGGCTGAGCCTGCATCTGCGATTGGAGCATTAGCGATGTGTCGCCATCGCACTGACCATCCAGTTTGCTGCATTGCTGCGCGCAGGCCAATGTGAGGCAAGGAGACCACACAGCATCACCATGTTCCTTCAAGTTCTGACTTGAGCCGCGAGTAGCTGCAAAACACTGCTGTCGACAGATGCGCTTGCAAGAGCACTGTTTTGGAGTACCAAGCGTTGCAACGTTCTCATGGTTCCGCGTGTTACATGAGCTGCTGAGCTAGCCGTGCTGGACAGACTGATGTTTAGGTTGCTGCTGCTGGAACAGGGAAGGCCCTGCACAGATCCCCTCAATGCACTAGGACACAGGCCGTTGCAATCGAGGTCCTTCTGGCAATGCCGGTGATCTGGTCGCCTGGCTATGGTTCCGGCTGTCTCTGGCAGGTTCTGTCCAAAATGGGATTCGCGCTGGGGCTGACACCGCAGTCCACGCCATTACACATCTAGTTCTTGTCATTCTAGTCAAGTAGCCACTGGTAGCCTGGCATCAAAAAGACGACGGCGTGCTCCAACTGAGGAAGCCTGGCCGGCTTTTAAAACAATCCACGATGGAGCTGCCTACATCACATCTGCCTGCTAATACCACCTCCTACTTCTACTCCGCACCACTCCGTCGCTCGACGTTCGACAAGTGGAAGCGAAGCCAGTCAACACTCGGGCGACCTTTTGACGAAACAAACAACAGCTTTCGGATCGCTCGGACGCTGTGGACCTCTCTGAAGCTCTTCTGATCCCAGACCCTCGACTGTCCTGACCCTGCCCTGCACCCCCCCCCCGGGCCCCCGCCTAACCTCAGCCGGCGGCTGCTTCGGCGACAATGCAGTGACATCTGCTAGGTGGGTCTGAAGCTACTCTGCAGGTGTGCTCAAGTTGTATAAGTGACGCTGCTCAGCTACCGCATGTGTGAGCCGGATGTCGCTGATGTGTTTGGCAAAGACCAATATGGGTGTTAACCAACTCTGTCCAACTTGAGAAGCAGCGAAGCCGCCAGCTCTACACCTTCAGTGTCCGCTTATCGAGGCACAGGATGCCCTGCTGCCCATGCGGGACCGTCAACGGCAATGATCTCACGGACAAAGTCACGAAGCACTCCTTTTCTAAGCCACTCTCAATCTTGCTCAGTAGGTAGTCTGCCTCCCCTTCTGCAGGTGCGCAAGTGCTCTCCTGCCTGTGGCTAGGCCAGGCGGATTGAAGATTATGCCAAAGCAAGTCATTTTGCAAACTGGTTGTTCCCTGCCCTCAAGGCAGATGCTTAATTAAACCATCACCGGCCCTCACGCCCCGGTGGAAAGGCATCCAGCAGCGAAACGGCAGGCCAAGATGAAACGACAGCGCATCAACTGCAAAGTCTTCAGGATTAGACTTCAGCGAAACCGAGGGAAACAAAGTTGCCATGCATCCTATGGAACTGGCGGCAGACAGAACTCAGCGTAGCAACATGTAGCAAACACCGAATGCAAGGACGTGCAAAAACGCAGCCTGGCCCGCAATGCTTGGGGTCTCGTCACAAATCTATCGCCGGCCGTGATGGCGAGCTGACTGTGGTACCTCTCATACAGAACTCGTCAAGCAGCTTTGGGATTTCCCGGAATTGACACCAATGACCTGAGAGTTAGTCAAGTTCAAGCTGCCAGCCCAGAACGCCTTACATCAAGCCATCAAGCTGCGGGCAATCATCTCAGAGCCATCATCATCGTGGTCCTTGGCCCTTGGCCAAGCGGGGTTCTCCACCAAATGCTGTCAGTGTTTCCGACGCTCGGAACTGTTCACTGGCAGAGCTTGTGGCAAAACAACTCTCCGCGTTGACACAACCTTCGCTTTCGACCAGGACGGCTGCACAAGCCTCACCAATCCCATGCTTGACAGTCACAAAGTATTGGCACTCAATCGTTGATCAGCTGGGCCTTCGACTCATACCTCACGCCCACATCAACTTTGCCATTCCCTTGCAGCTTGAAAGAGAGCCCTTTGCGGAATTCCTTGCTGCCTTCGGGGACACGAAATGGAGAGGAGATCGCATGCTTTCACCTCGAGATGAATCCCAACCTGCGAAACGAGATTGACCTCCAAGCTCCCAGTGCTTCGCTTCGCAATGGCTTCCATGGCTGTCGATTCCAGGTGCAAATTGCCCGTCGCATCTTTGGCAAAGAAGGCGCCGAAATCACCGGTAAGCCTTAACTTGATAATGTCCAAGAGCTTGTCGGAACCGACTTGGCGCGCGACTCGTTCTCAAGTGGCCACCCTTGCTGAACGAGATGCCTTTGAAGAACAACCTCAGGCACGATGGCAATCCCCTGGGTGCTGAAGCCAAAGGTAAACTGTCCACACGGGCGAAAGGGGGAGGATGCCCTTCTCCTTTTTTGTCGTGAGGAAGAGGAGCTTGGCTAAGTCTTGAGATGCTTTCTTGCTGCCACGAGGGGGATTATCCATTCCAGTCATGAAGTATTCTCTGTCCTCGTTCAAAGGCAATGCATTGCATTTCGGTAGACGGACGAAGCTGACGGCAAGGTCATGTATAGCAGTTTCAAATCGTTCTTGTCACCAAGTCGGCGTATGCTCCAGCCAACACCAAGTGCCACTCTGAGAAAGTGGTTCACGGCCGAAGGTATCTCCACACCCTGCATCTTCCCCGAAGACCCCGAAGACCTCGTCAGCTGTCACTGCTCCAGCAAAGCTTGCGTTTGGATCATCAGTGATGTGTCACCACCGCACTTACCATCCAGCTTGCAGCGCCGCTGCGCGCAGGCCATCGTGAAGACACCAGCAAGGAGACCGCATAGCCGCATAGCAGCACCATGGTTTGCAGATGTTTGCAGGGCATGTGGGGTCGCATGTACTCCTTCAAGTTTTGCCGCGGGCAGCTGCAAAGAACTTGAGATGCAAGAGAGCTGTTTTGGCATCAAAGCTTGCAGCATTGGGTGGACTAGTCATCAGAAGCCGCGTGTGAAAGGACACAACATTCAATTGCGAGGGCGGTACAAGATGAGGTCTGGCATGGCTATGGAAACTCTTGTATTGCATGGCCGCATGGTCAGCATTTGAAGCACAAATCTGCGAGCGCTGAGGATTCCCATGTCGTCCTTAAGGCCTCGCCTAAACCTCAAACCCTAAGCCCGAATCAATGTGTGCGAAACTGAAAGCAATGCTCTCATCAAGTGTCAGGAGTCCAAGGCAAAGCAAAGCTCCAATTCTCTTGGGACTGCATACGTCATCTAGAGCCATTCCAAGCCCGACTATACGAAGCAAGACCGAAATCCCTCTGAAGGCTCAGTTGTTTTAAGGGAACTCAAAAACATCCGCGCCAACTCGCATGCACACTAGGTAGCCCAGGAGCCATATGGCACGAACCTTGCTGGGGCCCCTGAGGATTAATCAGGGAACTCAAGGGCCGAGTCACCAAAGATCTTGCCTGGGTGCCTGCCAATCTTCTTCCCACCCTGAGTGAAGGCGCCATCGACGATCTCAATCTGCAGCTGGGGCGCGTTTTTGGATACTTCGTCTGCGCTTTGCGAATACGATTCTTACATGTAGGGCAAGGCGGACGGCAAGTGGCCCCGAATCCGAAACGCTTTTAGGGCCTAGACTTCCCGAAAAGTGCCCCCTAAGAATCCAACCACCAAAAAAAAGAAAAGGGCCCTCAACGAACCCCGCCCTAAACAGCAAAGCCAAGCACATCCCTTGCGATGGGTCAGCACGCGCCTTTGCCGTGCTAAATCTGCGCCCGGCGTTCTTTGCGGAGGGCGCAGGCTTGAGCTTCTTTGCAGGCTTCTTTGCAGGCTTCTTTGCAGGCTTCTTTGCAGAGCACTGGAGTCAGGGAATGTCAGGGTACTACTGGGCATCCTGTGGTAGCGGGTGTTCGCTTATGAAGCGACGCTCTAACCCAAGCCATTCATGATTCAGACGTCTTGGTTCATCACATTACGCAATTTCGGCCTCCCTAAACTCCAACCCCAAGTCCACATCACCCGAAGACTGCAAGTGTTCGAGCTGGGCCTGCGCCTGCGCCGGCGCCTGCGTCTGGAGCATCAGCGATGTGTCGCCATCGCACTGACCGTCCAGCTTGCTGCATTGCTGCGCGCAGGCCAGTGTGAGAACACCAGCAAGGAGACTGCACAGCATCACATGGTTGGCGGACATGTTTCTGACTTGAGCCGCGAGCAGATGCTGCGCAAGGTTTCACATGCAGAAATGTTATAAGGACTCGTGGGTCGACACGCCGTGCTGCAGGTGATCAAGTTTCAACTGGGCTAGGCGTGTCAGGTGAAAATCTGTGTGAGCAACTCTGTGTGCCACCGGTTGCCAGGACAGCACTAGTGTTGCGCAGCAGTGTCAATGCCACGTCCTGCCACTTGTATTTCACTGGCTTAGTAATCAACATTCCTAGAACAACCAGTTTCGCACTGCGTGACTTTATTGGAGCTGGCAACTTCACAGAACTCGTTTCTTCTGAGGGTGAGGCGCGATATCCAAGCTGCACATGTCTTCACATGACGTTAATGAAAACATGTTTTGCCTTGGGAAGCATGCTCCTGAAACAGGCATTAGAAACATGATGTCCGGTGCTGTAATTTTGAGATATGACGTCTGCAAGGACAGCACAACCCCAAATCCCGCGCCAAACTGCCAAGCTATGTTGATGAGCCGTGCGCTTTTTGGTGACGTGGGTATACGCACAGGACAGGTGGCTTTTTTGCGACAAGTACACGACCACATGCCCTGGTGTGATCGAGGACATCTATGCTGAGTGAATGTGTAAGATTGAACAGACATTCTGCGTCACATGAGTGGGTGCTTCTGTTGTTTCTTTTCTTTTCGCCTGAGCGGCTCTCTTATTGTGCCGGTGCGCAGGCAGACATCGATTGATTTGTACCTATGCGGTTTCACGTGCAAGTTGATTTCCGAAGAAAACAATTTGCTACAAGCATGATGCTATACTGGCGATGTTCGCTCCAAAGTGGTCGCATCGCAGCCAGGTTGTGTTGATGATGCGGTGGTAAATCAGTAAAGCAGCAGAGGCTGCAATATCTGCAACGCGACAGTGACGCCTCGCGCGATTCCATTCGTAGCATTCAGGTTTATAAAGCACAGGCCAGCGTGACTGGGCGGATCTCGTCTCTTTGCTAACGTGGTAGTTGACAGTCCACAAAGTGTGCTGTGTGTTTTGCGCTGTTTGGGTGTGTGTGTGTGTGTATATGTGTATTTGTGCGCATTGTGTTTGTGTGCGCGCGTTGGCTTTTTTTTTTTGTCTGGGGCTCCTCTACCTGTTACGGCGACCGTCCTCCGCGATCCGCTAAGTAATGTACGGAAGCCGGTTCAGAAGGACCTTTTTCGAATCTCAACCTGGAATAATTGCTGATCCGAGTTCGATGCCTTCAGAATGCAAGCTCGGTTAGATCCCTTCCGTCGAACACTGCCTTTCTGGCACAAGATGAGCGAGTTCTGGCAGCAGCCTTTCAGCATCTGTACGAAATTGGGGCAGATCTGCACAAGCTCTGAGCGTGCATGGCCCGCGCGGCTCTTCAACCTACTACGGCGACTGTCCGCAACCGGCCCAAGTTTCGTGAGACCGTCTCGCTCCTTTGGCGAAACATGCGGTTCTCACATTCGTGCCCCCTAAATAACATATTCCCTAGACACAATAGGCAAGGCACGTTCTTCAAATCTCCATCTTAAACCTGTGCGGGATCCACCAAGGAACCCAAAATCAAGTCTGCGAAAGTCAAAGGCAGAAGGCAATGTTTTGCGCTCCTCGCCTAAATCCTGACTAGATGACGTCTGCGCCAAAAAGCCTTCTAATTTCTGGCATAAGCCTCAACATTTCTGTGTAAAAAACATGCATAGATATGTACATATTTCTTTATGTATGTATGGAACTCGTTGAGGCAAACACACAAACGCATCTTGCAGTAGAGGATGCACTACTGTTGAGCTGTTGCCGTTCTATGGGGCAGAAGGCCGTAGGATAAGCCATTATTTGGAGGTTCCGCCACATTGTATGTGACCTCCGAAGACAGATCGTCTAGCTCAGAGATGAAGGTCACCGCAAAGGCGTTCAACGCAAAGTCGCTGGCTCTTTCGGACGTGGCTAGGTACACGGGCAAAGTGTACACAATGAAGACTCGGAAGAAGCCGTTCGAGATGTAGCACATCAAGAAGCGGAGTATCACCTCAGCCCGGCTCAACCTCGGGGCCTCCTCGGAGTCCTCGGAAAAGCTCCACTGGTGCAGTAAAGCAGCCCAGAGGAGATCGTTTTCCTGGTCATCTACCCGCATCGTCCATCGGCTCAGAGCTCGAAGCGTCGAGCAGCAGCCCGGCGCAAGCTTCTCGCGGAAGATTCCTGTGATGAAGTACTGCACCATCAGGGAGCCGGCCCACAGGGTCTTCGCGAAGGGCGTCATCTTCACCGGTGTCCAAATCGAAGTCCAGTAGACTGCCATGAAGAAGCACGAGAGCAAGAACGTGTGGATGCACCTGCAAAATGGGGAGAGTTTGGGGCCTAAACCGCCCTTTAATACCGCCTTTAAGCCGCCGCGGGCCTGGACAGGGCCACCTTCGGATCCTGGTAGATGTTGAGCGCTGTCACACTGGAGCCTCGCAACTCGGATCCTTTCATCTCATAGCGACAGGCCCGGAGGAAGTCCTGCAGGACGAAGTACAGGAAGCCAAGCGTCAGGACGATGAGGAGGGGCCAGCAGCAGGTCGCGTCGATATTCCAGGCCACTTCCAACGCCTACGTTCGGTTTGCAATTCCACGACTCTTGCTAACACAGGAAGAGACTTCAGGGGTCAACTGCAGGAACCCTTGAGAGACCTGGCCTGCAATGGTCGGGCGATCATTTCAGGTGCGTTGGAGTAGCGCACGGCGACGTTGATGCATGAGAGGATGAGGATCTTCACCGTAAAGTCTGTTACCAAGGCGAAACGCTGGGAAGAGTCCTTAAGGACAGCACAGCTTAGGGCTTCGGGGTGTTGAGATGTTGGGGGGTTGGGATTTTGCTCGGGGCTGCTGTGTCCTGGTTCGACCGAGCCAGACTGAACAGGAAGCTGACCACAATCACTGCCGCATGCAAACCGAGGACGATCATCTCCACGTTCTCGAAGTGAAAGAGCGGAAAGCTGATCTGGCTTTCTAAGTAACTTCCAGCCAATTCAGTCATTTGCGCCCGATACAAATGCTCTGCCCGCACTCCTAACATTGCAGCAGTCATGCCCCCGTCCGTCATGGCTGACATTGGGATGCGAAAGTGCTCATGCAGACCGGTCATGACATTCCATGCTCCGGTCCATGCTCCGGGGACGGAACTGGAACAGCCTTTGCCAATGTTGGCCTCCATGAGAAGGGTAAGGCCTTCCTCATTTCGCTCATTCAGTACTGTGGGGTTCTCGGCAATGTAATGAAGCACAGGCCACCAATCTGTTGAAGATAGTTCAGGCGCGAGGTCTGCTTTCAAGGAGGACGTTGAAATCTCATTCATGTAAGCTTTTACATCGCCTCTCGGAGGAGCACAGTTGCCATCAAACATGTGCAGCAAGGCCTTCAAAGTGCCCCAGGCCATGACATGGAGTATGTCATGCGGAATCTGGATCTCTTGGTTAGCAATCTTCTTGAAGGCCTCTCCTATAACTGGTACGAGGCTGGCGTTTTGAAGTATTGGAGGTGGGCTCCTTGACAGCATCTTCCGCAAAAGCTCAACTCGCTCAGGAAGATAATGCTCCATTAAGGCACGATTATACATTTCAACCCCTTTGAGCACGCAATCTCCGTTGAAGAAAGTCGCCTCTCCAAAAGCGGCAGCGAGCACAGCGAAGAGCGACAGCCCTTGCATCTTCAGGCTTTTGATGAGCTCTTCCTGGTCATCGACGAGGTTCACAACCTTGTAAGCGACTCGGCTAAAGTCGCCGTCAGAACCAATAGCATCACCAGTGGCGAAATCAAGGCATCGGGTGTGCTCCACAAACCATTGCCACGTGTTCTTTTGTTCCTGACTCCGGAGTCGCCTCTCGGAGAGGACGGGCCCCGGCGCAGTTCCGACCTGGATCTGACCAGTCTGACCAGGTGCAGATGGAGCGCTCGGATTCTGCGAGCTTTGCAGCACCTGGAGCTGTTCTTCAAGGCCTTCCACGCGCAGCAACATGTCGTCCATGCGGCGCAACGCGTCGTCCATGCGGCGCAACGCGTCGCTGCGCCCTGCGAAGGCCAAGGCAGCAGCAATCAAAGCAAGGACTGCTATCGCGCATGTGGCCCTTGCCCCCACAGACTGCATGGCCTGCGAAACTTGTGTAGACGGCTTTGATGCGTTGAGCCTCCGGTGGCTTCCGCACATGAGGGCAACATTCGATGCATCCAGTGGAGTCTGCTACACGTGCCTCGCCCGAATCGGAAGTGCTGACGCTGAAATATGTGCTAAACATCGTTCTCTTCCTCCGATTCTTTTTCTTCTTATTCTTCTTCTGCTTCTTCTTCTTCTTCGACTCTCCTCGTTTCATCCCACTACTACGACAACTCCTTATCAGCAGAACTTTCACCCAAGCCTCCAAAGCCTAACATTGCGCATCGTCCGGCCGCTCTCCGACCTCCTGCATTAAGGCGGCAGGGCTTAAGGTTGAGGAACTCTGTCTTACTTCCAAGAAAGCGTATGGCCCAAAATCAGAGGCCTGCAACTGGAAGGGGGGGAACATCATGTAATGTTGCAGCCGCTTTAGTATCGGCCCCCTCTTTAAAGACAACTGGGCTGAATTATTCACGACACCCTGACTGTTTGGGAGTCCCTCTTTAAAGACAAACCGCTCCCGAAATCCGGATGTTTTTCAAGGGTTTGGGGCTTGTTTTAAGTTAAGTGGAAACATTCAATCCTGAATGCCTTATGATTTTATAGCCGGACCTTGTGATTTTAACGACCGACCTCATCCATTCCAGCCGGCCCGAAACCATTAATTCCCTTTAAGAAACCATTTGAAGAATTGGTTTCGCTCAATCCGACAAGGGGGTGGTCCAGGAGCCCCCCTCGGCCCCGAATAATGGCACTGATTTGGGACCCTCTTTTATGTCAAGGCCCCGGCCCGGAGGCTCCGAATTTGGATGCCTTGGTCTCTTGGCTTAAAGCCGGGCCTTATGATTTTAAAGCCGGACGTTGTGATTTTAAAGGCCGGCCTCATCCATTCCAACCGGCCCGAAACCATTAATTCCCTTTAAGAAACCATTTGAAGAGTTGGTTTCGTTCAATCCGACAAGAGGGTGGTCCAGGAGCCCCCTCGGCCCCGAATAATGGCACTGATTTGGGACCCTCTTTTATGTCAAGGCCCCGGCCCGGAGGCTCCGAATTTGGAAAAGCCTGCGGAGCCCTTTTAATTCATATAAACTCATCCCGGATCCCTTTTCGATTCGCGCGGATCCCGCTCGTGAAGTTCATGAGTTCACGAGTCTCGTTCACATGCTTCTTCACTATTGTACCCCAAACCCTGTGGGGACCCGCTAGTTGTTGAATTCGGCGCAGATGTAGGGAAGCCGCTGAAGAATCACCATTTCTGAGTCTAGACTAACTGCTGATTAGAGGTGGATGCCTTCAGAGCACAAGCAATCCCGTCGGTAGAATACTGTCTTGCTGGTGCGCAGCAGCTTCAGCATCTGTACAAAATGTGTCAAATCTGCACCGGCTCTGAGCGTGCACGGCCCGCGCGGCTCTTCAGCCTACTACGGCGACTGTCCGCAACCGGCCCAAGCTTCGTGAGACCGTGCCCCGCTCCTTTGGCGAAAGATGGGGTTCTCGAATGAGGGCTTTCCATGGTTCCACAGGCGCACTCATCGAAGATGCTTCTTGCATCCGGACATGCAAAAAACATCCTTGTGGCAGGGCTCCTTCGTTCAACAGATACTCTTTTACACCATGGCCCTTCTTTGCTTTTGAATCTTGAGGAGTAAGTCGGAGTATAGGTTTCGGGCTTCGGGATTCTATCCATCTTTCACATCTTCCTGGTCTTCTGCCGCCTGCACGAAGTGAACCTGACGACTGGTTTCCAAAACAATCGGGGTGTCCAGTGGGCCGCAACTCTAACTTGGGACACTGTTGCTCTAACCTCTACAGACTAGACTTGCAAGATCATCCAACTTCGAGTGCAAGGACGACTACCGCTACTACTCTTCAGCGATATGACTCGCGTAAGCATGAGGAATGTGGGGGCACACTTGGCTGGGTCGAATTCTTCGTTTCCAGCATAGTGGTGCCAACTCTCAGAAACTCTTACTGGCTGGAATGTACTCCAAAGCGAGCATGTGAGTTTTCCAGCAGAGGAACTTCTCGTTCTGGAATTCTGGAAGGACTGACGCTGTTCATCAGAAGCCCAGATTACAAAGTTACGGAAAAATCCAGACAGACCGCGCTACCTGCTAGAGTAGCACCACCCCGGCAGATTGACTCAGACAAACGTTAGTTCGGTGGCCTGAACAAATCCGAAGAGGTGGGTTGCGGGCTTAGGGTTCAGGGCTGTAAGCTGAAAGCCCAAAAGCCGCTACCATGACACCAAGGAACAGGGCAGGGACACCATGCTTGTTGAGATCATGCATGTGATCCGCCGCGGCCGCCTCACCCTGGTACCTTGGTTTTTCGTCTCAAGGGTGTTTTGGGGGGTTGAGGATGCTCCCCTAAACCCTAAACCCTAAACCCGAGACCCTAAACCCCAAACCCCAAGCCCCAAATCTTATTATTTTCAAGTCAAAGGAACAGGAATACCTCGAGGGTTCCCACGCTGGCGCCGGACTGTGCGTTGGTCACAGAGAGCCTGGGGAATTAGGGGCTCTAAGGGGTGTTTGGAGTGTTTTTTTGGAGGCTTTCTGAGACAAACTTTTGCTGCAGGTTGGACCTGGTCAAAAAAGGGGGACGTGGAGCTCGACGCCTGGTTTAGGGTTACGGGATTGAACACACAAAGCCCTCCGTCACAGGCCTGACAGGGAAGATGGGAGACCTGCACTCCAATCCTGAGCACCGTACCCTGTAGAAAAAGGGACACTCCCTGGTGAAAAGAGCCGGCTTTTCTTTAGTCAAGTCGCTTTGGGGCAGGGCTTCTGGCAGCCGTTCCTTGAACGACTCCACAGTGCTTCCTGAGCATCTTCCCAGGTGGACGTGCCCGTAACCTGAAGGCTCACGCACGTCTATCGACCAGACATAGCGAGGCCCTTGTTTTATCGTGTTTTCGAATGTCACTAGGCGCCGCACTTCCGGGAACCATTCTCGGTGCATCTGGCATCGTCCATGAGCCACTTTGTGGCCCAAAAGCCTCGCTGTGAGCAGCGGACTTTCTCACCCCAGTGCCTAGGAGCCCTACTATAGTAGCATGCCAGGGAGCAATCTTCAGGCTCCACAGAGGTGTGGCAATCCTGGAACCACTCTCTGGCGACCAAATCACGCATCTCGCGCATGTCAAACAAGTGCCGCCTCCGATTTCTCCGGCTCCGTCTTCTTGGATCCACCTTGCTCCTTGCGCTGCGCAACTTTTGCAAAGCTTGAATCAACGCTCCGAAGCTTCCCTGCGGCACATCATGCCCTTAAAGCTTAAAACCCTTTTCCCAGCCTCAAAGTCATGCCAGGCCACTTCCATACAGGGCTTCTTGCAGTCGTTTCTGGCCCGATGCCACAAGGCTAGCTGCCCTTCTTCCCAAGTGGAGTTGGCATCCAACTGAGAGCAGAGGGGCATCGCTGAAGCTTTGCTGGGGTTTCGGGTTCAAGGTTTAGGGTTTAGGCACCCCTCCCCTCCCCCGGACTCCCAACCACAGAGACCCGGTAGACCCTAAGCTACCAAGATGTGGGAAAGAGACATTTTTCCTCCCATTCTGGTCCCTAGATCCACCTTCCACGCACCCTGCCACGAGGCCTCCGCGAAATCCCGCGAGGTGAAGCGGGAGCCACTTCGTGGAGTAATAGCCTTAGCTCAGGAGCTCCCAACAGAGACGTCAACTCCTTAGGTGGCACTTGGGGCGGCACCTGGGGTGGCACTTGGGGGTTTCCTGGGTAGGGTGCGGGGGTGGGCTTTTTTGCGGCTGTTTTAGCTTCTCCGAGGCTTTGAGGCGACATGTCCAAGGCGAGTGAGAAGGTGCGAGAAAGGACTGTGAATTGCCAGCATTTCCGGGTCTTCTTGACACCCGAAACCCTAAACTGCCCTGACGTCCCTAAAAAAAATGAATCAATCAAATAACGAAATAAATTTCCATATATGTATATATATGTGTGTATACAAACTGTGATGGAGACGAGTATGCCGATTCTCTTGTTGCGAGATTTGCGCAGCCCCCCCCCCCTCCTCCCCATTGATCCACCATTGTCTTTTGCTATTTGCTATATCTTGTTGAGGCCAGGGCCTCAGCAAGCAGACTCTCCCGTGCAGGGAGTCAGGTTTAAGGTTGAGCTTTGGTTTCTATTTTGCAGAACTCTCGGTTTGATGACCACTTTTCAAGGTTTTCCAGCAAAAAAACACACACATGAAACTTTTGAGGAATGAAGTTTGAGGAAAATCCATGTTCTGTGCTGGATCGTTGAGTTTGTCTCCTCAAAGCGAAATTCCAGAAAGCGTGTCTGTGGGATCTTCTTTGACCCTTTAAACTTCCGACAAACTTCTGATTTGATTCTGCCTCTTGACATTCTGATCTTGCCGAGCTCAACCGAAGCCTTGCACCCTTGGATGACGGACTCCGGTCTTCTCAGCTTGCTGAGAAGAAACCTTTGAAACAGCAAACGCTCTCAAAAACATTTTTAACACTCTGGGACTAGGGACATGGGAGCCATTTCGTTTTGGATGTTTGTTGGGCGGAGAGCATGCGAAAAATGCACACCCAAATGAGTGAGACAAGTCTAGGAAGCATCGCAGTTGGGGCCGAGATCCCCCTTTAACCCAGTAGGTGCTTAAAGCCACTAACTCATGAGTCAATTCGAAGTGCAATTTGCATCAAACACAACGACCAAACAATCGTATACGAACAATCATGACTTAGGTTCCATAAGCTCCCCCGGTCCTGCATGCCTACCCAGGAGGCCCCTACTAAAGAGTGTGGAACATGAATAGTACCCGCAGTAGTCATATGGCGAATCTGACGGATAGCGCAGTTTTCGTAGTAGACTTGTCAAAAGACTATATGCGCTACTAGCAAGATTAGGATAGTCGTGATGTTAGTGTTAGCAATCCTGTCATTTTACTGCAATGTTATTTGCTGATCTTGTCATCACAAATGGTTAAATTGGGGGCATTAGATATGTCAAACTTGTGCGTAACATAAGTAGTACTCGATTTCGAATGTTCCGAATAACACGTCATGTTTTTTGCTTATATTAACAGCGAAGTTTACTTGCGCCAGGACTAGTACTAATATTGCCAACATTACCAATACTACTCGCAAAAGTCAAACTACTGATTCGTTTAATGCTGCAATACTGGCAATATGTTCATGATGTTAGCCGTGCTTCCAATACGTGAACAAACCACAGATGAAAACAATGAAACCTGTAGCCAACAACTGTGTTTAAGTGATAGATCTCAAATCTAACATTCGGCACGGCGGATGGCAAGCACGTATCTTTCCCGAGCCCACATGTGTGCGTGTGTCTTTCACGCTTAAGCGTCGACCTAAACCCGGGACCGGCTTGCTTTGGAAATGCAAGCGGCCTGTTTAAGTTATACAACACCGGTGTGGAAGGTTGATCGTTTTGTTGCTGGCTAAACGGATAAATAGGTTGGATGTGCGATTTGTGTAAAAGACAAACATCAACCGTAATGGTATCCACAAACACAAGGCGAAGTTGACTCGGAAGCCCACACACAAAGCCAAGCTTACTCGGAAGTGGAACTTATGGTTCCTATATAAGTATAAATATACACTCTTCTTTTAATATTTTGTATGTTAAAGCGAAAAGAAAAACTCTACGCTAAATTCACGAGCCGTCGACAGATGTGCTGCCAGAGAACACTTTGGAGTAGACAATCCGTCAGCAGCTGCGTCTGCCTGGACACAACGCACTCTTCTGGCTACAAGCTCAAGCCTATCTTGAAACATGATAAGCGGAACGGCCAGGACTTTTCAAGTGGCATGTCAAGACACGTGCCTATGGTCAGATACTACACCGATTAAGATGCATCGATGAAAGGCGAGAGCACAACTTCTTTCCTGCAAGTGCGTGCATGGGAGGCAGATCTTTGCCAAATGCCTGAATCAAAAGCCTGCTGGAACGGCTCTGTTCAGCGGCTCGGAAAAGCACTCGAAGGCGTCCGAATCTTAAATTACACCTCCTTCGAGGTGCTGTTGGATGTGCAAAGGTGGTCAAGTCCATAGAGGCGCAAGCCCGTCAGCACTCTGAGCATTGGCACAAGATGGCCCCAGAAGAAAGCCCTACTATACAAATACTTACAAGGACGATTGGTAATTTGCCATAGCTCGGTTCGAAAGAGATCTAAATCTGCACAATTGAAGTTGCTCACATGATGCAAAAATAGCTCGATTCAGCTGGGACCTGAGGTGTGACATCATAGACGAGGACTCAGATGCCCCCAGCAATCAGATTCTTGTGATGATCTCATGAGCGGATATGAGCGGCCTCAGGGGCGGCCTCCTCCGGGGCGGTCTCGGAAACCTCCTGACCCTCTTGGACCTCAACGGAAACTCCGAAAACTGACTGCTCCGTCGGCACCGGCGGCCTAGGCGGCAGGCCAGAACTCGCTCTCGGCTTCCGGTCGAGCTTCCGCAGGCACTTTGCGACACCCGCAAAGAAGATCAGGCGCACGAAGCATGGGCCAAGGACAGGAACCCGGGCTGTCCTTCTTGGCCCCAAAGCCGATATCGCAAGAGTCAAAGGGCTGAGCACGAAGATCTGCAGGAGATAGAAAGTGAGGTTGTATGTGAATCCGGCCATGTAGACAGGGAGAAGAACGATCCAGAGAACTTGGATCCGAGCTGCAAAAGCTCTCCTATCCAAGGGGAACGCAGCAAACAAGCCCAGGCCTGCTAGGGCTTCCAAAGCTGACAGCACAATCATGAGGACTAGCAGCCAGTGGTTGGAGTCATCCAGCTCTGGTAGTTCCCGGCCATGGGCGAGGAGCTTAATTGGCGCAAATCCCCAGAAAGCAATGAAGCTCGCGAGTACGATGGTTCGGTTCCAGTGGGAAGCATCGCCCAAAGGGCCCGTGCGCTCCACGGTTGCGCGCAACTCACGGCTGAAGACGTTCATCGAGCGCAAGACGGAGACTGCATCCTCCACCTGAGCCTCACGATTGCTTCCACGGATCTGCCCCCAAATGGCTTCCGCATCCGTAGGGGAGGAACAGGAAGCACTGTGACAGGCCGTGAAGGCGCGCTTTAGTTCCTCCACCTGTTTGGATGCCTGCAGAGAGTTCTGCCGGTCTATCTCGAGAGCCGTGACTACGCCCACGTTGAGCAAGAAGTCCTGTAGGGCATAAACTCCAAACGTCCCGAACGCAATCCCTACAGCATAAGCCAATCCAGCAGCAACTGCGGCACCCAGCACGGCAGCTTCATGAATTGCTGAGATTCGGCGGCCGCGTGATCCCAGCAAGACCACGGAGAGCAGGACAAAAATCACGGCTGCAATTTGAGCAGGCAGGGCCAAGGCATCCAGAAATTCCGGAAGCAACAAGCCCGCCGACATGCTTGCCACACAAACGCATGCGACGCGGCATCTTCGTGCCAAAGCCCCTGGAGCCAAAGCCCTTGCCGTGTTGATGGGCTTGTCCCAGGAATATGCCAAGAATGCTTCATAGACGCACCAAAGCCGCGAGTAGATACTGCATGTCCTATTCGACACGACTAGCATCTGGGTCGCAGATTGCAAGGATTGGGCGAACGGCGAGGCCTCTGGGCGTTCTATTAAATGCCCAATGTCCAGGTTCTGTGGGTTGGATAAGAAGCAAACATAAGCACCAGCGGCATGCCGGGGCCAGCAGTTGATCGCTTTGTCAAAAAACTCGAAGATCCCCTCAGCCCAAGCGTGCGTAATGAATAAGTCGCAGGGCAGCCCATCCGGATGCTTCATCAAAGCCCAGCTCACACGCCCTGCGGCAGCCGTGATTGGCTTGATATACTGCTCATTTACCGTGTACATTGATGGCCCAATCCTCCAATCTGATGGATCAAACTTGTCCCGCTCGGTCGGTGTGATGCGGCCATCCTGGACAGCGTGCATCACCAGTCGTCGGAACTGCTTCAGGTCCTCCAAGCTGACGCACCAGTGGCTCATGGTTACACTTTCGTGAAGCCTGAGGCCGTCCAGCACTACCGGCGAAGTCTCAAGGCTTGCATCGTCCGCTGTCTTCTTGGGCAACAAAGGCCTACAGCAGTTGATGATGATGCTGGCCCACAAAATGCCCACTAGGCTTGTGGCAAGCAGGACCCCAACAGTTGTGAGGATTGCCTCGCGTTCCTGGCCGCAGTCAGAAACCCATCCGCTGTCACTGGGGCAACAGCCGAATGCCACCCACGGAGTAGCAACGCCAAGGCTTGTCAATGGCCGCAGCACCTGGGCCTCGTAGCCTCCAGAGCAAGAACATGCCTCAATGTAGCTTGCCCTTTTGCAAAGCGGAGCAGGGTCGCTGCAGCGATCCACGGAAAACCCCTCACATCGTTCGCCGGCAACTTGTGTCGCCCAGGCCAGCACAACTATCAACGGCAACATGGCTCTCTCACTCAATTTCTATGGTGGCTAGATTTCTGAATCGCTTGCTCGTCCTAGTAGCGACACTAAACCCTGCGCAGTCGTTGAGGGGCCTGGTGGAAAAGTAGGCTACAGCTTGCTCTGAGAACTGCTGCTCTTTGAGACGCTGCTCAGCACAACATGGCCGACATGGCCCCCTTGAGCGGTTGTCCAGCGTGCTACTACGAAATCACGCCCGTTTTCTCGCGGCGCCCATCCGTGCGCAACGTCTGCCCTGACTCACGTGACCGCGTCGCCTAGGCTGAACTCACGCTGTCAAAGGAAAGAACCCTTTCAGCATGGTCGTTCCTACGATACTTGCACAGAGGCTTGCACAGAGGTGATTGCTGGTTGTTGCATGCTGTGCGGCATATGTTGGCCGGAAAGGACTTGCAGCAGATGGCGGCGATGCTCCGCACCCACTCTTCCAATGCCACGCCGGAGGTCAGTCCGGATCCCTGGCAGCCTGCGGTGTTACGGTTTAGAGTTTACGGTTTAGGGTCGAGGGATGAGACTGCGGTTGTTCAAGACCTTGATGCGCATCTCAACATTTCAATTATTCTGCTTTCAGGGGGTGAGCGTGCACGCATGCAATGCATGCAATGCATTTATGTGCGTACATACATGTGCATACACATACACATACACATTTATGTAATTTATATACACATACACATACACATACACATATACATACACATATACATACACATATACATACACATATACATATACGTAAGTATCTATGCAAAATATATCTGCAAAGAAAAACGAGATGCGAGTGAGAGCCGCATATCTGCACCTACGCACCGACGCGGCCCGGCCTTCAGAGGCGGCGAGCTCTAAGAGTTTGTACTCCTCCGTCGAGTTTTTGAGCTCATCCAGGCACGAGTGGCCTCTTAAGCGAAAAAAAGTTGAGGTTGAGGGTTGAGGGTCTAGGGTTTAGGTGCAGACTCTCTCTCCGCGACTTAAGATTTCAAGAGACAGGCAGCCTTTGGAGATTGTTGCAGTCGGCTTGAAATCTGAGGGCTCCTGCAGGGCATCCCGATCACAAGGCTGGGCTATTGGCAGTCTCCCGGAAACTTAGAGGAGAGGGTTTGCACACAGTACTACAGGTTCAGAAGACCTGAAAAGTAATTCTGGGGGGACGTGTCTAGCCTGTGGATGGGGGGCCTCAGGGAAACCAGACTTGCAGATTTGTAAACCAAGGCAGCTTCTCTGGAATTCCTAAGCGACAATGCATCAAGTTCGCCAAGTGGATCATCCAAAGAAGAGCGTAAGCTTGCAGAAATGGAAGGAGTTCAGAGCCCTCTGTGATTTTCCGTGCCTTGCAAGGCGTTGCCAGCTCCGCCTGCGGATTGCATAGCCTGGAGGAGAGGGCAGCGGCCCGGGAGGCATGGCAGGTGAGCAGCAAGTCGAAACTTCTCAAGCCACCGCGTCGCTTAAGGTACATCATCTTTGACAAGTCAACGCGTCAAATCCCTGCGCATCTACATACTTATCCAGACACAACTTGCCCTGCAAGGGTCCCTCAACGAAAGTCACGGAACACAGCTTAAGTGGAATAAAGCGTTGGGGCCGAAAACGACCAGGTCCTTGAGGGTTTTTGTGGTCGTCTCTTTTGGGGGAAGCCTACCTTAAACCCAAGATGCTCAGGAATTGCACTTCTCTATTGGGAGCGCAAGGCCTCGCTGGCCAGGATGCGCAGCACTTCGTGCTCATGGTCTCGAACACCTGGGCCAAGCTCCTGCGCACAGTCACAGATGTCGTATAGCGTGAGCCACAGGGAGACCGCCTTGCGGAGAGGTGTACGTTACAGCGTCTCAGAAGCTCTGGTATAAAATGCGCAAGTTTTATGGGATCCCGCTTTACGTGCAGCTGTTCGACATCTCGATTTGAAGCCTCCCATCTGAGCTCTGCGCGTATGCCATGACGTCACCACGCCCTCACAGCCGAGTTCTCGCGCAGTCAGGATGAGTGGAGGATACTCAGCATCGTTCATGTACCTGAAGCACTGCGAGACAATTCCACGAATCAGTCCGCCCTCTCCAAAACGAGGACTGCACGAGCCAACTCACGTCTTAGGTCTTGGCCCCGCCACTTCCCCAAACATGAACTCCCTGGAGAAGCAGTGTTTCCAAATCTGTCCCAAAAAGCCCCTTACAAAATCACAACACAGCACGTTGAACCGCTGAAAGGCAAAAGGAATTGTGCCAAAAGGGTGACACAGGAAGCATAGGATCAACAAAGGCCGAGTAGAGGCCCGCACAGGGCCGCAAAAACGCCGCAAGCCCTTAAGGTACTCTCGCGGTCTCCTGACCTGACACCATGAGGAAAACCAGAGTCGCTTATGACCCGCATCTCAACGGGCTTTCAATAGGAATGTTCAGTAAGTTCCCCAGGAGTTTTTAAAGATTTTCTAGGACTTTCTAGACCTCTCCGGGGCAGAGTGCTCTCCGGGGACCTTATGCTTGGTGGCTTTCATTTCGGAGCTTGAGATGCCCAAGATGCTGTGACATCTCCGCCCCACAGGTGTGGACTTTGAACTCCAGTCCAGCAGCCAGGCACTTCTCCCGGGTGTCGCAATGGCAATAGAAGTCATCGGGGAAGCCGTAGGCCGTACCTCGGCGCCCCACGACATCTGAGCAACTTTCTAAGGCAAGCAGCTGGGCCAGTGACCAGGAGAACAGCTTCGAGGATCTGTCTCGAAACGACGGCAATCACTTCCACCAAGGCAGCACAAAACGCCCTTCAGGACTGTGCAACTGCAACCCAAGCAGGTCCCGGCGACTAGAGCCAACATGAGCCAAAACATGCCAACACACGGCAAAGCTGCAGTCAGCAGCAACGCAGTCGCACTGAGACATGTTCTTCGACTTCGACATGTCACACCAGCCAGCGGAGTCCTCAACGGAGTACATTTCATGGTGGCTCAACTCAAGACAGGGCCTTGCGTAGCATTGTGGCCTTGCATCCTTGACTGCAAGAGAGGCGCAGACATCGGTGCATCTGGCAGGAAGTCTGAGAAACTAGTGCAGGGATGCATTGCCTCCAGCTCATCCAGCGACAGCTTTGCCGGCTTAACGATCTCGCCAGCGCGTTCCTCTATGAAGGAAGCTTTGAAATCCAAGTGGCTAGTGTCAATGCCCAGACGGTCCAGGGCAACCAAGATGTCGCGCTGTAGCGTGTCGTCACTGATCCGTGTGACGCGCTGCTTCATATGCTCGGCAGAAACATGCGGTGGGCAAAGGAAGCTAAACGAGACCTGACTCTTACCAAGCGCCAGACTGATGTCCGAGTCTTTGAGCCCATGTCCCATCATTGATGCCACCGCCTGGCGCACAGCCAGCCCACAAACCTCCTGCGCGGCGCAAAGCACAAAGTCGAGCGCAAGCTCTGTACTGTATGGGCAGGGGCTACAGATTCAGTATATTCAGGGTGGCCAAGGCGTGACCCAAACGTCGCAACCGTTATACTCTTCTACACTCCCAGGACGCCTTTTGTTCCATGGACTTCCCGGGCATCCCGGGCAGCTGAACAAGACACAAAACACCAAAAAGTTATTATTGTGAAGCTTCTCCTCCCAGTTGGCCGGAAGTGATGCAGTTTCATAGAAGACAGAGAAGCTACCAAAAACAAGCCCCATGTTTGTTGTCGTCGTTGTTGAGGGGGACAGGTCCATGTAGTCAACTGTACCATCGCTGGTAACCGCAAAGGATTGGAGACCCTCCGGGAGCTCGTACTCCGTCATCCGCATCTTGATCCCCTCATCCAGGACGTCTTTGGAAATTTCCCCCAGAACCTCCTCGGAGCATTGTGCCTTTTTTGGGCAGAGCAAGTCGCACTGGACAGTCGCGTGGTGGGGAGCGTCTGATTCGAAGGATATGGCAACACCGTCAGAGTCGACGCTGACCCCAAGGTATGTCTCCACAAGGGCAACCACTGCCAGCGTTATAGCTGGGGAGACCATCGAGGGAATAGCTGCTTTCACAGTAGCTTGCTCATAACCCTCTTGAAAGTTGTAGTTCATGTCGAAAACGAGTCTCAGCAGTTTTGGGCCTTACCGCGCAACCAGCTACAAACATAGCATGTGTCAGACCTCTACACATCGACAAAGCCTGGCACCCGAAGATGAAGTCGAGCTGCGGTAGCCGAAAGCACGCACGGGCACTCCATCATCCACATGACGAAACTTCCTTTGAAGACTGGAATCCAAAGTAGCATCTTCACCTAAGGGGCAACCGTCAGTTCTCGACGGCTGCAAGGCGGCTGCAGACTAGAAAAACACCCGCGCGTTCGGGGGGGAAGTCTCTCGGCAGAGAACTCTGTACTGCACGGATGCACGCACAAACGTCTTGGTAAGCCCCCCGCTGTGAGTCCTTGTCAAGTGCTGACCACAAGCTCGCCGCTGAAGTAGGGAGGCAGACTTTGCCGTGCAAGCTCCTGCATCTAAAAATCATGCCATATGTGCCTGAACCCCTCGCAGCTTCTAGCAAAGTACGACGAAAAGTACACCAGCATGCGGCCTGCTCCCAATCCCCCTAAAGTGTAAGGCGAACTGATGTCTGAACTATGGCTGTCAGGCTTTCAGAGCTCAACGATAGGAACCGGCACTCCTTTGGAACCTTCTGGGCATACACCGAAAATATCAGGAAGCCTGTCTAGGGGTCTAGGCCTCCATCGCAATCTGGGGCCGCTGAGCTCTGCCCCAAGAGACATGCAAACAGGCATGCCGCAACACTCATCGCAAGCCTCGGGAAGGAGCAGAAGCAGAGCACATTGGTCATCCTGCGCCTGCTTTGACAACTCAGCCCTATACCCTAATTCAACATCCCTAAACCTGAGAGCCGCACTGAACAAAAAAAGCCTCAGCCTCGGGCTTCATCTCCTCACTCCACGGCGCTTCGCAGCGCTTTGGAGAGGTGGCGGTTGGAATGGGGAAAAAAAGTGTGTGCAGCTTTGATCTGGAGCCAAAGCACTGC